AAAAAAAAAAAAAGATTTACAAACAAAATAACAGCCTGTATCAACTCTCCAGAAGAGAGATGGTATGACAATATTAATCCAAACATCACGCTATTTAATTCCCCAATAAAACATTGGAAAAAAAAGGAGCCAACAGTATCTGCACTAACACTTTGCTACATATAAAATCTCCAGCTAATATGAAGCTTATGGTACCAACCTCTAAAACAGTTAAGATATATACACATATTTTTTTTTCGGGAGGGGTATATTAACAAACAGAATATTACAAAATATTAAAGAAGGCAACTCTTCTGTCATTTGTTTCAGGGCGTGGATTTTGTTGTGGGGTTTGTTTTTTTTTTGTTGTTGTTGTTTTTTCCTTTCTTCACTTGAAGTTGGCGTAGTCTGAGAAGGCGTCGATATATTCCTGCACCACCTTGTAGCAGAATTCGTACTGTTCCTGCGGGATTCGGGGAGAACAGAGCGTTACGCCACCAAAATTCACACCCGAGACGTAATTTGATGCTTCGTGGTCTGCGGCAAGCTGGGACCAAGGAAGGTGTCCTCAATCCCGGGAAGGAACCGGATTGCCACCCATGAGCAGGTCCCACCTCCTTTGTGCCCCCAAAAACCTGGCCGCCCACCCTCCTTGCTGGGGTGCCACCAGCTAAACGCAGCTCTGCTTTCCCTTTCCACTCTGAGGTCCTATTTTGATCCCCCAAAAAAAGACTTTTTTTCTAAATCTCTGAGCATCCTTGCAAACCCTTCTTGCAGGACCTCATCTAGTCCTGCCTGCTCCTCCCCTGCCCACCACGTTGCCTGCCCAAGCCCGTGCCACAGCTGCTCCACGACAGGTTTCCAGGCTCTTGGAGCCCACAAATACGTGGGCTGTGGCTGAGGATGTCTCAAGGAGGTTCCTACAGCTCGTGTCAGTGCTCAAAATGGGTTTGATGCCTTCAGGCAGCCAAGCTCCACTCTTCCGGATGTCCTAACAGGAGGCAGGGGAGATACCTCCTGACCCACTTCCATCCCCTACTCTTCCATGGAGAGAGAAAACCTTCAGCTGAGGAAGTTTTTGCTCAACATTGAGTCCCCAGCCTGTTCCCACTGAGGTCTGGGGTGGGAGGAGGAACGTGAGGTGAGCTCAGCTGTGCTTACCAGTGTCTGCACCATATGCGGCCTCTGTAGTCTTAAACTCTTCACCGTCTGAAAGACGTCGAGAATCCCTTCTGCCTTCACCCTTTCCAGGACAGTGCTCAGCGCACAGAAGGTGCCTGTTCTTCCTGCTCCGGCACTAGCAAAGAGGAACCAGAAGGTAAGGGAAACCGTGCGTCCTGACCGTGTTGGCTCTGCTCAGGGGACAACCCATAGGGGAACCACCAGAGAACCGGAGGAGCTGCCCCAGCCTCTCCCAGTTTAGCTAGGACACGCTCTACGGGCCTGAAGCCTCTTTGTTTAGCCGAGCAGGAAAACCCCGTATCACATCTGCCTGGGCTGCTCCTGCCCAGCCCAAGTCTTCTGAGGGGACCTTTGACCATGTCCCAAGGTCCTTGTAGAGCAGGTCCCCTTGGAGGGGTGGCCAAGCCCTGCTCCACCCGGGCTTTACCTGCAGTGCACAGTGATTGGGTGGTTGCCAGATTGCTGCTGCTGCTTCTGCACAGCCGCGATGATGTTGATCATTCCCTTCCCATCCCCGGGAATCCCAACTTCTGGCCAGCCGTGGAAATGAAACTGCCGAATCTGTCGGCTCTTGTTTTCCTGGTGGAAGAGCACAGCTCGAGGTCAGTCGGTTGGTGGGAGACCCGCACCAAGAAACCCACCAGCTCAGGGTTTTGGGAAAACCATCCGCTTAGGAAAGCTGTCCGCTTGTGGAAGGGACATTCCCGCAGCATGGAGCAGGGCAGGACATGGGGAACGGGGAGCAGGAGGTGGTGGTGGGCACAGGGACAAGGCAGAAGGAGGATGAGGGCTGCGGGGTGGCAGGAGGGCAGAGGGGCCGGGTGAGGAGTGATCAGCAAGGCAGGAACCCTCAGGGGTGGGAAGTAATCGCGGGGAACAAGGTGAGATTGCAGGGGATGGACATTGCTTTGGGACGACGAGGAGACGATGGAGCTTAAGATGCCAGAGGGAAGGTTCAGCACTTGCAAGAGGGAATTGCAAAGCACCATGAGCATCAGCGAGGGTTGATGACGGCCAAACCCAAGAGGTCTCAGAGCTCCCCGCAGGAAGAAGGCCAGACTCTTACCCTGGTGTTCGTTACCAGCAGGTCCCGCACCGTATAGCTCTCGCACTCCTCCTCTTTTTTCAGCTCCACGGTGATGTCTCCATAGGACACGGAGCCGTCAGACGGCCAGTACTGGGCACACTTCTCCTGAGAAAGCATTACGGGAGGAAACAGAGTGAAGCCCTCGTATTTTTCCCACGGGCTTCGATAGAAGAAGTCTTCTCCTGGGGCAGGCAGCTGCCTATACCAGGTGGGATCCCACGGGCTTGCTTTGGAGAGGAGCTGCCCGCTGCACCCAAAGGCGATTTGAGAACTGAGGGTTCAGAGCTGGTTTATTGAACATCTCCCCACCCTGGGTCTACAAACGACTGGATTCTTTGTATTAGGAGGCTGAAATACATTTCCTGCCCGAGAAGGGGTGAAACGGCACCCAACGCGTGTGGCGCTGGCGGTGCCAGGGAGATTTTAAGGGGTCGCGCTGATTTATTTTGCTGGCGCCTAAATGCGGCTATCCCCAGGCGCTTACCTGGCCTCTCTCCTCCAGCTCCGTCAGCATCACTATGGAGCAGGATTTCCACTCCCAGATCATCCTCCAGAAGTCCTCTATCGTGTGCTGCAGCGGTCCTTGGCTGGCGATATAGGAGTCCTTCTGGCGATAACCCTGCAATTTGGAAACCGGGTTAGCGGTGAATCGGCGGCACCTCGATGCTGGGAGCAGTGGGAAGAGCGCTCCTGGACACGGTTGGGTTACCAAGCTCAGTTAAATTTTGGGAGCATCACGACTGTCCGGGTGAAATGTCGACAGCTTGGGCAGAGAAACCTGCTCTCACGGTGGGCTACGTCCCCACGCATGGGCAATACCACCCCGCTGCTCGGCAGCTGAGGTGCCATCAGCCAGCGCTTGACCGTGGTAAGAGCTTTGTTTTTAAAGACAAGCACCTGGAGGAAGATCACATCCCCTACACATGCATGGCCTGATCCATTTGGTGAGGAAAGATTTGGGTTTCCAGCACTTCTAAGCCATGTTGCAAAGTCTGAGTGCTGGAGCAGAGCCTTGCCTAAGCTCCAGGTACTTCAGGTATGATTTTTACTGGGGATTTTTCAAAGAAGTGAGCAAAACTAGATGGAACTAGGAGATCTTTAAGGTGCCTTCCAACCCAAACCATTCGATGATCTATGAAAACCAGTAGTAAATCTGGGTGACTCTGGCTCTTCCGCAACCACAAAGCACCTCTGTTTCCAAAAACATCCGACGTTCCCCTGTGCCCTCGCTGCAGACTGTGACTCAAGATGCTTCGTCATTTGGAGCTTGTCATTTAAGCAAAGTTCAGCGGTGGCAGGAAATTGAATCCTCCACAAAAATTGCTTACGTGACATTTAAGCTTTCCGATCTCGATGCAGAACAAGGCGGCTGCTCCCGGCTGCGTTGTGTCGGATGCTCACGCAGCCAGAGCCACCCGCGGGGACCCAGCAAAGGAGATTTCAGGGAGCAATTAATTTGGGATGGTATAACTGGGAATAAACTGGTTTTACTGGTTCAACCCATGGCAGTAATCGCCCTTTGGGGGGGAAAAAAAACCCAAACCCAATGCTGCCGTTAGGAGATGAAAATAGGAATTGGGCTAGAAAAGAGCAGGGCTCTGTCACTTAGCCAGCGCTGGCATCACTGCACGAAGATAAATACTCATACGAGATGTCCTCCTGAAGTCAACAGGATTACTCACGAGAAAAGGATGTGCAATCACTTACCTCCTCCGTGGAGTGAGGAAAGCACTTAACCTCTCTGCCTCGCCTCCTCCCGTCACCCAGACAGGTATAATGGGATTGACCTGGTTTTTCTCAAGGGTTTTGGGATCCGTGTATTGCTCCATCGCCTAATCTAGTGGATGTTTTCTGACCAAATGCACAGTGCCGTACAGCAATCATTTCCACGGCTACGTGCATCCGCTTCTCCAAAGGCATCGGCAGAGCCTGGAGTTGCAGAAGCGAGACCGGGATTTGGAGGCTCTGCTTGAGCTCCAGCTCTTGTCTCCCACCATCCGTGGGTCACAAGGAAACTGTATATACGGAGGGGTTTCTTGGAGAAAGAAACTAGCACCATCTGGTGACAAAAGCAAAGTCAAGTGGAAAGAGCCTTACGAAACCCAGAGAAGGAGTGTTTTGGGACAGATCCTTTCCATAGGAAGCAGCGTGAGGTAAAGAGTTTCCATCGGGAGAAGATGGAAAGAAATTAAAGAAGACTCACGTCAATGAAGGAAGCGTTTACGTAGTCTGTGTTCTCTTCACCTCTCTTCACCGGAATGATTACTCGGTTGAACTCATCTGAAACAGAAGCGAAATGATCTGAGCTTTGGGGAACACCTTCAAAGCACGATTCCTTGATAACCACGCATAGCCTTAGCTGGGAAGTCACCAAGCCCTAGGTGAGAGGACGGAGATATGGGAAGGGGACTCCTGTGTTTACAGCACCCAGCTGGGACAAGGAGAATCAGTTCTGCCTTTTGCCATGCCCGGGTTTGGGGAAGGAGAAGGGGATGCTGAGGACTCCAGGGGCAGGACCTGCTCAACACAGGGACTCCCTTCTCCCTCAGGACAGAAAGCCTCGGCAGCATAAACCTGCTGAGAAAAAGTCATGGCAGGGACAGGTCGGAATGAAAGCAAGAAAGCCCCAGGGTCAGCATCGTATTTGGCCATGAAAAACCACCTGCCCTTCACTCCGCCCTGTCCCTTCATGCTCTCCCCGCCTGAGCAGAGGGTGGGACCAGATGACTCCAGAGGTCCCTTCCAACCTCAGCCAGTCTGTGACCCCAGTACCAGGGGCACGAATGCCTCTGTCTCAACAGCTTCTGAGTGCTCACAGAATCCCAGAGTGGCTGAGGTTGGAAGGGACCTCTGGAGGACATCTGGGCCAACCCCCTGCTCAAACAGGACCACCAAGAGCTGGTTGTCCAGGTCTGTGCGCAGATGAGTTTTTAATGTCTCCATGGATGGAGACGCCACAACCTCCCTGGGCAACCTGTCCCAGTCCTTGGTCACCCTCGCAGTCACCCAGTGTTTCCTGATGTCCAGAGGGACCCTCCTGTGTCTCCGTTTGTGCCCATTGCCCCTTCTCCTGTCACTGGGCACCGCTGGAAAGAGCCTGGCTCTGTCCTCTTTGCACCCTCCCTTCAGGGATTTACAGACGTTGAGGAGACCCCCCGGAGCCTTCTCTGCTCCAGGCTGAACAGCCCCAGCTCTCTCAGCCTGTCCTCATAGCAGAGATGCTCCAGTCCCTTCACCATCTCCATGGCCCTTGGCTGGACTCTCTCCAGTCTGTCCGTGTCTCTCTCGTACTGGGGAGCCCAGCACCGGACACAGTGCTCCAGGTGTGGCCTCACCAGTGCTGAGCAGAGGGGGAGGACCACCTCCTCCACCTGCAGGCAATGCTTCAAAGAAGGCCACTCGTATCCCAGGCTGCAGTAGGCAAAAAGAAAAGAATTCTAAAAGAAATAAAAGCCTTTCGCCCTCATCCAAAATGCATCTAAGCACATGAATTGTTGTCCAGCTATGAGTCCTATTTTCACACAGTCAGCAGTTCTACCAGTAATCATTAGAATTCAGGAATTAAGCTGGATTTCAGTGTTGAGAGGGTTTTTTGGGGAGGGTGGGTGGGTTTGCTTGCTTTTGGTTTTGGTTTGTTCCCCAAGGAGACAAACAAGTCTTACATGGAATTATCTGAAGCACCCTGTTCTTCTTCATGTTTGCCGGCAAGTTGCCCGTTCTCATCTTGTCGTTCTGAATTTTGATTGAAGTGAGCTTCTGCAGAAGAATGGAAGCAGAGGCAGCTTTCAGAGCCGCCCCACACCAGGCAAGCGCATGGTGGTCCGTGCAGCCCAGCACCATCCGAGCAGATCCACCAGGACAAGAACCACTCTCACCTTGAACTCCTCTTCCAGCCCATTGCTGCTGGTCCCTGGCACTTTGTTGTAGATCTTCTGGAGGTGGATCTCTAATGAGGTCACCTCCAGCTCCGTGTCACCGTAGAGATAGTGCTCCAGAAGCGCTTGGTATATAAACACATACTGCATCTGGAAGGGTTGCAGGGAGAAGCCATCAGCCTCCGCTCCGCACACAGCGAGCGCATCCTGGTGCACGTGCTGGCAGCAAACCCACCACCCCACTGCCCACCCGTGCTCGCTGGGCACGTGGCACCCCGCTGAGACCCCAGAAAAGTGGATAACAACCTGTCTGCTGCTGTACGGGGACTGGGACCTTACTGGCTACAAGACACAAAGCTGATGTCACATAAAACTTTCTCCAAGTCTGGAGAACAGGAGGCTGAGGGGAGACCTTGTCGCTGTCTACAGCTACCTGAAAGGAGGTTGTAGCCAGGTGGGGGTTGGTCTCTTCTCCCAAGTAACAAGTGACAGGACAAGAGGAAACAGCCTCCAGTTGTGCCAGGGGAGGTTTAGATTGGATATTAGGAGAAATTTCTTGACTGAAAGGGTTGTCAATCCCTGGAACAGGCTGCCCAGGGAAGTGGTGGAGTCCCCATCCCTGGAGGTATTTAAAAGACGTGTAGATGTGGTGCTTAGGGACATGGTTTAGTGGTGGGCTTGGCAGTGCTAGGTTAATGGGCGGACTCAATGATCTTAAAGGTCTTTTCCAACCTAAATCATTGTCTTGGAAGGGACCTGTAACATCTAGTCCAACCCTCTGCAATGAGCAGGGACATCTTCAGCTAGATCAGGTTGCTCAGAGCCCCGTCCAACCTGACCTTGAATGCTTCCAGGGATGGGGCATCTACCACCTCTCTGGGCAACCTGTGCCAGTGTTTCACCACTCTCAGTGTAAAATATTTCTTCCTTATATATAGTCTGGATCTCCCCTCTTTTAGTTTAAAACCATGGCCCCTTGTCCTATCTCTACAGGCGCCACTAAAAAGTTTGCCCCATCTTTCTTATAACCCCCTTCAGATACTGGAAAGTGCTCTAAGGTCTCCCCGGAGCCTTCTCTTCTCCAGGCTGAACAAGCCCAACTCTCTCAGCCTGTCTCCATAGCAGAGGTGCTCCAGCCCTCGGATCATCTTTGCGGCCTCCGCTGGACCCGCTCTAACAGGTCCATGTCCTTCTTGTGCTGTGACCCCAGATCTATGATGCTATGAAGGGGATTAAAAAGAGCAGGACCCAGCGAAAGGATGCAGCACCCTTCCAAAATGAGGGATGCTACTCAACCCTCACGTACGCTTTGCTGCAGGCTGGGACCGACTGCACGCAAGAAATCCAACTCCAGCGAGTAAATCCCAAACGAAACCGCAGCGCCACACTTACATCCGTCTGTACCATCTGGCAGCGCTGAGCCCGGATCCGGCTCACGAAGCCGTAAACGTCCACCTTCCTCTCCGCGTGCATCATGTCCAGCATGGCATCGATGACGATAAAAGTGCCCGTGCGTCCTACCCCGGCGCTGAAAGAGCAGAGGGGACAAGAGGTCAGTGCAGCAGTGCTGGCGTTGGAGTCTGTTGCAGAGCAGCAGGGAGCAAGCCAGACGCTTCCCAGCAGTGGGTAAATAGCAAAATCTGTTTTGGAGATGAGAGAGGTCCTCAGCTTGGCGTTCAGCGTCACTTGGGTTTTGCAGAGAGATGCACACGGCATCTCCAGCAACCGCTGCGACCGGAGCACCGAGCAGGGAGAGCCACAGCGAAGGGAACCCTGAGCCAGCGGCGGCTTCCAGAGTCTCGCGGGCTGCCTGTTCCTACCAGCTGCCCGCTGCCCTTCCAGCCACCCTCCATCACGCGAAGGTGAGCCCACGGGGAAGCCTCGTGTCTGTGCTGGTAACTCAGCCATTAAGGAGAAGAAGAAAGATGACGCCAGCAGACACTACGGACAGACAAAGCTCTTTTGTCAAAAGCTCTTTTGTCAGCTGCCTCCTGAGAAGAGAGCTGGAAAGATGGACTTGGGAGGTTACAAATGTGATCGTCTCTGCCTTTAACTGTGGGCATTTCCCCTTCTGAAACGCAGAAAGCCTCCGTGAGGCTTTTCAGGCTTGCTGCTGTGCCTGAAACCGCTCCACGTGAGGTCAAACACCATGGCCCTTGCTCCAAGGCACGCTGTCAGCTGCGTACTGCTTTCTCGCAGCAAGGGATGCTGCCCTCTCGTGCCCAGGGCAGCGGAGAGCCAAGGGAGATGCCACCAATGGCCAACAGCGGTGCTTAGCTTGGCTCACTCGGCATCCAGTTAACGCAAACGAAGACCACTCAACACGAGTCGTAACACCATCACATCACTGATTCCAAGAAGTTCCTTCAATTCAGATGCATTTTTTGGAATGTTCCCATGTGGAATATTCTCATTTAATATGGTAAAGTTAAATAAAAAGAATAAAAAATGCCCAGGACGTACCTGCAGTGCACTACTATTGCTCCTGCGTATTGGGGATTACACGTCTTCACCTTCTTCAAGAACTTCAGCATCCCGATGGGGGTGAAGGGGACCCCGAAGTCGGGCCAGCTGGTGAAGTGGAACTGAGTCACCAGGCGCTGAGGCTTCTTGTTCGTGACGTCGCCAACCTGAAGGGGAAGCGTGTATTCAGGTTGAGGATAAATACTCAGATTTCCCTTCTTTCCCCTACAGCAAGGGCAGAGAGGGAGCTACAGCCCCAAGGGTGAGCTGGACGGCTTAAGAAGCACTAGCCTCCACAAGATGAAAGGGCACAGACTTCGGCTCTGAGGCCAAATTAGTCTCAAAAAACATGACATTTTAATCGCCCAGCATCACATTCCGGGTAAGAGATGCCAGCCTGGCTTCGGCTGCGGCTCCAACCTGGCAGAAGCTGCTGCGTTTCATTCCCAGCGGGCTCAAACAGAATCTGCCGCCCCATCCTTTCCCACACCTCTGCCCACAGCATCCTCAATTAAAGGCAGGGGAGGAAACCACCCACGTCCAGGCTGTTGGAGCAAAGGCTGAGGCTCAGAAGAACCCTGCTCAGGGTCCAGACAGCTTTTCAATCACCAGCTCTGCCTTGCCTGCCTCAGAGAGCAGCAGGAAAACAAACAGAGCGACTAAAGCATCCAGAGCCTCCTTGGAGGACAAGAAAATGTAATGACAGATGGGAGAGCAATCAAAAGCAATGCATACGGCGCTGGATTTTGTCTTGGCTCATGGGATCAGTCTGATTATTTGCAGGCATTAAGTATCTGTGGGTGACAGCAGGAACCGATACTGGTGACAGCAAGTGCTGGAGTATTACGGGACTGAATTTCAGCCTTGGCATCCGTCAGCTTCCCCGCTCTCAGTAGAGCCATGCTGGTACCCACTGGGAATGGGCTCCCAGGTGTTTAAGATGAGTAAATTCTTAACAGCTCTGATTAAAAATGGATGCTGGAGGTCATTTCATCCCAACTCGGCTCTCACGGCACCTCGGAGGAGTTGAGGGGCACGCCAGTGCCTGTTGAGTGAACAGCATGGAGAGTGGAAAGGAGGCATGGGATGGGGTGGGATGGG